CTAATGACCATTTTGTTACCTCACTGTAGCATTTGATGCTAACCCTCCTTGAGAATTTCTCCCTTAACTTCTCCCCCTCCACCTCTGACCAATATTCTGTTTTCTTTTTCTGGCTTCATTTTCTACATTGTTTCTTAAATATTGAGGATGCATGAGATTTTATGTGAGGCTGCTTCTCTTCTTGCTGGACACTCTCATCCATTCTCATCATACTGATCCCTTCTAAATCCATAGCCCAGATTTCTCTCTTGAGCTCCAGATCTAGAATTCTGAGCACTGACTGCACATCTATTTCTGGATAGCTCAAAGGCAACTTAATCACTCCATGTCCTGAAATGAATTCCTCATCTTTCCCCAAACTTCTTCACTTGCCTTTCCCATCTCAGTTAATATCTTCACTATCCACTCAATTTTAACACTAGAAACCTCCATATACAAGTAACATATCCAGAACATGTAAAGAGCTCTTACAACTCAAAAATTAAAAAGACAAACAATCCAACTTTAAAACGGGCAAAAACTTGAACAGATACTTCACAAAAGACAAATAGCCGATAAGTGCATGAAAAGGTGCTCAACATCATTAGTCATTACCACTGTACAACAATTAGAATAACTAAAATTAAGACTGACAACACCAAATGTTGGCAAGGATATGGAGTAACTGGAACTCTCATATATTGCTTGTAACAGGGTAAAATGTCACGGCTACTTCAGAAAACTGATTGGTAGCATCTAATTAAATTGAATATATATCTCCCTCTGACCCAGCATTTCTACTTTTAGATATATATCCGATGGATTTATATGTCCACACAGAAACATATATATGAATGATTATTCCAGCTTTATTCATAATAGCCCAACCCTGGAACAACCCAAATGTCTATTAATAGTAGGAGAGATAAAAAGCAATTGTGGTATATTCATATAATGGAATGCTACTCCGCAATAAAAAAGGAAGAAATTACTGATACGTGTATCAACATAGATGAATTTTAAAACATTATGTTCAGCAAAAGAAGCCAGACTCAAAGGAAAATATACTGCATGATTTCATTTATATGAAGTTCAAGAACCAGCAAACTAATCTATAGTGATAAGCATCAGAATGGTGGTTATATTGGTGGAGAGAACAATTTAACTGGAAAGGGGACATGAGTGAACCTTCTTGGGCGATAGGTATATTTCCTATCTTGATCTGGGTGGTGGTCACACAGTGTGTACATATGAAAAAATGATTGAGATGTTTACTTAAAAGGGAAAAAGGTTAATAGTATCATAAGGAGACATAGCAACATTATTTACCTCTTATTTTGATGCACCAAGAACAGCACAACATCACTTCTGTGGTATTCTTTGTCAAAATGCCTTACCTCAATCTAATCATGAGAAAACATGGGTCTAACCCAAGTCGAGGGTCATACTATAAAATCTTCAATGGTATGAAAGTCGGGAAGCACAAAGGAAGACTGAAAAGGCTGTCACAGATTGTCACACAACAATTAAATGCAATGAGGGATTCTGGATTGGATCCTGGATCAGAAGAAGAACATTAGTAGGACAATTGGCAAAATTTGAATAAAGTCTGTAGATTCATTAATAGTAATATATCGATATTTTTTCCTGATTTCAATAATTATACTATGTTTTAGGTACAATACTAATATTTAGGGAAGCTGGGTGAAAGTTTTATGATAACCCTATGCAACTTTTTTAACTCCAAAATTATTTCAAAATATCAACAAAAAAAGCAAAAAATAAATGTCGCAAATCTTATGAACTTTTGAAGAACTTCTCATTTCATTTTCCATTTCTAAAACTTCAAAAGAAAACTGCACATCACTTTTCTCTATGATACAAATATAAAAATCTGATATAAGTACAAATTTTAGCCAGCTTTTAATTAAAATAGTAATATGCTGGAACAAAGTGAGGTTTGTTCAAGGAATGCAGATATCCTGGATGAGCCTGAAGGGATTTAATAGATTTAGTCCTAGGTCAGCCTCACAGGTTGGCATCTGAACCTTATGGAGGAAAGAGCTTCAGGCAACAGCAAAAGGAGCTGTTTCCATTAGGATCTTGGAAACCCAGGACACAGCAGCAGAAACACCAGGTTGGAGGTTGAGGGTGGGTGGGGAAGCACTTGATGAGGGAAGCACACGATGAAGAGAGCTTTGAAGGAAGCTGGAGGACTGAAACGGGTCAGAAACTCAGGTGTCTCCAAGAGCCAAACAAGTCAGACTCCTGGACAGATCTGGTGAGATGGTATTCACTTACTGTATTATTGCATTTCATGACAGCATTGTTTATACTCTGTGCCTCCTGAAACAACCCCTGTTGAAATTTTAGTCCTTTTTTTTTTTCCATTTCAATAAGGTTTTCTTTCCCCACACAGCTTTTCCATATTCTTCTTATGATTTCTTTTCAGGAGGTATTTTACACTGTATTTTTTCAACAGGTATACTTTGTATATTAAACATATAGGAATTTTCTTAATTTCTACCAGTAAAAATGCCTGCTCCCATTTCTCCTGAAGCATATATTCCTTTTGGCCTCTTCTATTTTTCCAAATTTGCTAGAGACATGATTACTTGAAATATTTCATTTTTTAACTAATTCTAATATAAGAAAAACAATTGCACAAAGACAAAAACTGGCAACTGCCCTTGACCTTGATGTCTGGGAACAATAGGGTATTGGAGACCTGGGGTTTGAAATTAAGAAACCTCTAAAAGGGGGCCTCCCTGAGGATCCAGCTCCAGCCCACTGTGGCCATGTGGAAATGCAGGACTG